ATTTGTTTCATACAGCACGCATATTAATGTGTCGTAACTGTTACGTATAATGCACTCATTTAATACGAGCAAGTTTGCAACATACAAAGATTATAAAAACAAACAGAACGTATCTCCGCTCGCCACGATCACGTTAATTGAGGAAAAAAAACTTATTTGTAAGTGAGCCAAATAATAATGCTCAACAAGCAGTAACTTTGACTACCTCCGTAGCCGAGTGATTTGCACGCCGGTCTCAAGATGGCGGATCTCTGAGATGCCGGGTTAGATTCCCGGTCTGGCCAATGTAGGAAATGAACTTTTCTAAATTGTCGCGGGTCCGGGTGTTGTGGTACCTTCGTTGTGTCAGATACTCTATAATACGGTGGCTTTAGCTTATGTTGTTTAATATAAAAAAAATTAAAAAGCTTAAACCTAACTGACCGTAATTGAAAAAGAGATTAATGAGCATTTTCATTAGTCGTACCGCATGTCGTAACACCCGAATCCGATTTTTTTGTTTCTAAGAACCTTTGTTAGAACTGGGTATCATAAACATTTTACAATTTCAAGTAACATATAATATTATGACAACGGATTGTCCTTATTCTGGAAAGATATTGTTTGATAAAAGTGCACTTTAAATCTAAATTATACTATTCTGTCAAATATAAATCCAAAGGCATTAATGCGTGCTCCTATTTATAAGATAACAATGATTAGGTGAAGAGTAAAAATTAAATGTTATCAGAGAAAAGTGTCAGTTATCGAACTCTACGTCTTTAAGCGTGCTTGATTCTAATATCATCGAACGCGATTTATCGATATCCATCTTTCGCGTCAGTTCGAATCTTATCGGTGACTTTATTAAAAACGAGGTCACAGCATAATCCTATATTTAATTTTCTAATGCATTCATTATCAACAACCATATTATCACGTATTTCCCACGAAGGTAATGATAAGACTGACATATTTCTCCAAACTATTTTAAATAAAAATTATGAATAAAAAAGCAAAGAAAAAGATTTTATACTTTTCACTAGAGTCCAGAAATAATATATATCATGCTTAAGTCGCTGTCTTCTTTTTCTATCAGAACGCGTTATGTTCCAAATTTAAATTTTATGTAACCACTTCAAATAGCACCTTACTGAAATACGTACGAAACCGTAAATGTGTTTAATGGTCCAAACTATAAGTAAGGATCACGTAAATAGACAACTTTATAACCATTTTGAACTTATACTTATCTATGTTCTTTGTCTTAACGGGTGTGTAAGAAGGAGAGATCGGAGATAGAAATGGCGGCGGTGACGTTGTTAGTGCACGTTAAAAAGCATGGTGGCATTGCGTTAACAAGCTCATAAGAGGGAACGTTAAAAGATTTAACGTCTCCGTTACGGTTGGAATAACTCATTTCGGATTGTTTACGATCACCACTCGCAGGTACAAAACTGGTGCATCATTTGAAAATAGAACAAACTTTGTTATTTTTAATTTGATCAAATTAAAACCTCTCTGCTTACAAGAGCATACAGATTATTGTACGCATTATCTTGTATCTTATCAAGTACTTGTAGGAAGAATTGGGACGCTACTTAAGTTCTTTGTTAATCATAATATATTTGATGTATTTGAAGCTTCATTTAGGTAAAACGATAATATGACAAAATATATATAAAAAATGCATTATATAACATCAAATACATTGATCAATCTATCGAATTGTGCATCTTTTAAGGAATACATAGAGCAACGTCAGACAAGATCTATGGGTCCAGAGGATTTTTTGAAACTGAACTAGAAATTGATCTTAATTTCCTTTAAGCCAGATGGTATTTTAATGGTGAATGATGAATAACAACTGGTCAATATGCACAATGATAACAATCATTTTGCATATAACCAAGCGGATATCGCACAGCCTCCAATCAACGGAAACGGCGCCATCTTATCGCAGGATGCGCACGCGCAGCGGTCGTTGCTGTTGCGATAATCGTTTTGCTGATGTTTTATCTACTCTATTTTTTAATGCACACCGTTTTGATCAACAATACTGATCGTAGGTACACTATGGTTGCTTTCATAGTAAATAAAATATATGTATTCATCATTATTTGCTCTACCTATTTCAATTTCATTTAGGGCCGAGGCAATAGGTATTCTTTTGCTATACTTCATCATTTTAACATTCACTCCTTTGTTACCTATATCATATTTAAATTAATATATATAAAAAAGTTCTTAATATATAACTGTGCTTTCTAATACAGAAAACAAAACTACGTTACCAGCCTGTGTCTTCAAAGTATTTGTTTAAAACTACCCACACAAACTAACAAACAATAAACTTGCGTAAGAGTAGTAACATCACGACGTACGATATTATTCTGTGGGAACTAGATAAGCAGCCGTTTATATGTACGTATTAAGTTAATACTTAAGTAATTGCTTAACTTAGAACGATTCTCATGGGATTCCACATGTTAAATGTTGCGGAAACCGAAATGTATTCGGGGAAATAGTAGAAAGTTTCCTTTGTGATAAAATGTAATTTAAAACACGTCTCTTCAGTGCAATTACGTATCTCAAAGGAACGTTGCCAATGAATAATATACTAGGTCTGTACTTTTGAATTGATATTCAACTTTTCTGAAACTATGCTATCGTTCTACTGTAATTTGCGTAATTTTAAAGTCATAGTAGGACAACGCACAATTAATTGGTTTTAAGAGAGCATCCAGAACTAAAAGCCTGACCAGTAAGCGAACTTGTACTTCGAAGACTATTAGTCAGACTTAGAACACTAATAACTAAGGCATGCTAATCAGTCCTGTAACGGTGTGCCGTACCACTGTTTATTTCATCCTAGGTTTCAGCGTGCAAACTTTTTGTCTCTGATCTTCAACATCATTTCTTTTTATCATTCACCATTCGTAATTTGAAATTTCGACTAATCCAATATGCTCTTTATGAATGTCAGTTCGTAAAAAAATCATCTGGTGTGAATATGTTATTGTAATCGTATAAATTTAAATATAAAATTTTATAATAATGACGTTATTATAATTAAAATAGAAATTGTTAATCTAAAAGTATATCTCGAAATATCGTCCAAGTTTTTATATTATAGGAAACCCAAAAATTAGAAATTGTAATTTTATATTTAGGTAAACATACAAACAGTTTTTATATTAATTTCTTATTTGTTACAGTTTTTCTTTACCCTTACTTTATTACCATAAAATAAAATCAAATCTTAAGCTTAATCAGTCTTTTCATTAATTCGCCCAAGCATCGAACCAGTCACAGTACTATGTATAGCTCAATTCTTTTTAATGTATCATTTTAATATATGTTCAGTTTATATACACATTCCCGGAACTGCCATGTATGTTAAAACTCACTCGCACTTCACCATTGCTAAGTTTAGATAGTTCATTGATTTATAGCAAAAATAAACTTGTATTCAAATAATATATTGCTTGAACTGAACAAGACAACTTATTGCATACACATATCGAGGAGAACTCTTAGAATCATTTACCGAGTTGTCACAATCCTGAAGATTGGCAACATTCCATTAGCGGTTCTGTCGATTTCCTAGACTTGGTAGGCACCATTGCGCAATGGACAGAATATTACGCTTCTATTAAGTGTAAAGCTGGTTGGCCTCTTCCAAGTTTCTATGTAATTAAGAAACACAATTTTGGAAAATTATATTTAAAGTTTTATTAGCAGACAGGAACCGCATGAAACGGTGAAGGAAAAAGCGCATTTAGCGCATGTCTAACACCCGGTTTCTGAATTGAGAAAAGTATAAAATTGCAGCTGATTATTCCCAATAAACAAAGTTTTTTACTTTTCATAAGTCAAAAAGTTGTTTTGGCAAATTGACCTTAGTCTTAAAAATTAAAGTCTTCATTAACCTACAATTGATCAGTATGAAACTTCTAAAATTTTTAATATTCCTGGAAATTTCCATGTTACTTTCTTCAAACCAAATGTGAAACATTTTGTCATACCAAATCTTGACCTTTCCAAGTTAGCGGTTCGAAAAATTCCTCGAGTTCGACTTTTCTTTTTATGGCATTAGTTATAAAATGATCCTCTCGAAAAGGTAGTCCAAACTCATTAAGGATTCCGTTCGCAGACGAACCTGCGGTATTATAATCGAAGGCAGGTTTGGACATGTCTCATTTGGCGTTACTAAGAAGCAAGGTAGTGTTAGGTATGCATAGGAACTGTGCTATGATAAATCCCATTATAATAACATACTTAAAGTATTTAGAAATTGAATATTAAACGTTTTATTTTTTTTTTCTGCAGGTGTTAACTGAGCTGTAATCCCCGGCTTAAAAAAGATATCAGAAAAAGATTAATTAGTTTAAGAGTTGTTTTAACATAAATTTGAATAAAAGGATTTTTGACTTTGAGAAAAATTACGGTACAAAAACAATGAATGATACTCCAAATTACATCATAATTTCAAAAATTTAAACAACTTGGTGTAATTTTGAAATGTAATATGATGCAAGAATTATGAACGTTTAACATATCTTTAGGATGAAAATGTGATAAGTAAATTATAATGTATTGTTTTCTCTGATCAATAAGCGTCATAGTTTTTATATTATACCTATAATTAATTAAGGAACACAGGAGTTCAACTGTTATAATTGTCCTATTACGTTTACGGTGGCTCACGAAAAAGATTTAATTGTAAAACTGCATCTGTTCACACGACTCTACATGTAATGTGTTCTAAGAACTGCTTATCTTAATGTTCTCTTAAAACTAATTGGACGTCCATGATGTTTGTACACTCCAAGACCACTTAAGGTTCACTTCATTGAAATATTAACTAGTTACAACCATTCATGGTTCAAAGAACAACAAAATGGATATTCCATTAATGCATTACTGATATAATAAATTAAGACTATTATACATATGAAATAATATGAAGGCTATAGGAACAGTATTTATAAAAAGAAAAACTAAAAAGAGATCCTTACCTCCAATAACTCGTATAGAAATTCCACATAACTCATAATACGACAAAACAAACAGTCTGCACTTGACACAGGCCGATGAAAGAGTGGCAACAGCGAAATTAAAGGTAATATCTACGGGGTTATGCCACACCCGGGTCGCCTACGCGGCCCAGACCACCTGCCTTTCTATATATGGCCACTAATCAGCAGGTTATTTTATTAAATATCACTCTTTGGTTCTCTGTCTGGTGTCAACGGACTGTAGTAGTAAAAAAATCTATTACAAAAAGAGGTGCGTTGACACAACACTATATTGCCAAGCGGATCTAAATCATTACACCGAATAAACTTTCGATGACGTTCTTTTGCAAATCTAGACTACAACAGGTTTAAAATTGGCTGAAATAAAAAGCATAATCACCAATGTAACTGATCCAAATAGAGAACCTTTCGTAAACATGAAACGTGTCTCCGTTCTGCAGGCAGAACAAAAACAATCTTAAAACCATTCACTTAAGTGTCACGTCACGAGCGCTGCGCTTTTGTCGCGAGAAGTACGAATCATCGTGAAACCGGTCTTGTGCTTGCGAAAATCTCCATTACAACAGTATGTTTGTGTAGTTAAATGCTCCTTTACCAACAACAAATGAATGAAAAACGACTCGATGAAAAACTCAAATATCATTCCGTGGATAATAGAAAAATAGGCCAACAAAAAGTAGTCAAGGGAAATGATGGCACACTTAATCCTCTGCCACGGTCACCATGGTTATATGGTCGAACATTTGAAATTATTTACCTCGAATGAGTACGATAATAAATCACACTAGTTACACACGTCAGACAGTGCTTACAGTTCAGTGGTGCCTAACTAATACACCCAAATGATAGAGTACCACTATCTCGGGGTCTGGCAATTAAACGACTATCAAATAAAAGCACGAGTTCCTCGACTCCTTAGCGCTTGAGGCACGGATGTTGAAAAAAAAGAAAAAACAATAAAAACAAAATGGAGTCGCGCTCGCGTGCAGTGTGCGTGGGAACATGGCAACAATAAAAAGGATATTAGGATCATTATTTTTGGGTTGTCAGTTATTTGCGAAAAAATTTGATGATTGGTTAGAAGCCCGATGCCAGTCTCGATCTTAATATGAGAGTCAAGGGCGCACTCGCCACTCGTTGAACACAATAGCGATGCCAATGCGACACCTTTTTATGCGGCCGTGTAAAGTGTACAGGATAAAAAAAATGGCGGATGTAGATAATTATCCAACAGAATCCCAAGCAAAACTATTTCTAAATGTAGGCCGTCGTTTGCTACGGTCATATGGCTAAAACAGGATATTACAGGCATTCCCTCAAGGACAAAACGAAGAGGCTACATTATGTTATCTGAACTTTGGTAAAATCAACATCCTTTTGGGCGACCTTCATGAGTTTTATCGAGTTTTCAAATAAATAAATCTCTAAGCTTCATATTGTAACATCGATCGACAATGTACTTTTAGTTTGAGAACCCAACAAATATTCATATAAATATAACGCTTTATAGTATAATTCCAATCCAATGAAACCACAAACGATAATACATCTTTTGCCTTTCTTATAAGTGTTAATTTAGTTCGATTATTTTACCTTCGTATGAAGACATTTTTTTTAGAACCAGAATTTAACGTTCCAGTCATATAGGCCGAATAAATAAGCGTATGTGCGTACAAGAATACAAAACGATGACTAACCAATAGTCTTCGAGACCACAGGCTTTGTGACTAATGTAAATCCGTAAATTACAATTCAACTTGAACGTAAAACAAAATTGTCGATTCATTAATATTTAGAATGAAAACTTATTTCATCATTTCTAAAAAGCTGTTTGGAGTTCCCCAGTAACATCACCATGTTTATATCAACCAATTATAGAATTGTGAAATTTGGAGCATCTTCGAATTTAACATCTATTTTGCCTGTCATTGATTTAAACTCTTCAAACGGTATGACTTTATTCCTTACTTGCTTTGTTCTAAGTAGTAATTCTCTAATTCTTCCTTTTTTATATTCTCGTCAATTTGATTCAGATATTGTTTTACGTCATCAATAAGGGTAAAAGAAATTATCTGTACGTCTATTTCCCATTTGGCTGCCATTGTCCCTCACAGGTTTCAATTCAAACGGGCCTTAAGTATTGGACTTTGCAGAAGTCTTTCATTAAGATAACCTTCAATTAAGTATTCAACTTTCTTAATACATTCCAAAATGCCAGAATAAGATTATTTTCTGTTCTTCTGGCCAACCTGACCGTGAAATTGTATTAGAACCTTCCACAGTCATAAGGCAATTGTTTTGTATTGGCTTCTTTATAAAGTGCCAAGTTCAAAAGCTGCTAATACTACGGAATGTAATGACATATAAGTTCTTCGCAATTTGGAGTCGTTCGACAAAGAATTCGTTCGTTGCGGTTCAGGAAATTCTCCCACGATTTAATAAAAAACTTGCGCACTGTCAACATCTTTTAAGTTACTGCAAGAAGGATTTTAATCTCTCTCTCTAAATAATAAGGGCTATTATAACTTAATCATTACATGAAGGACGCCGGAAATCAAGTGCCGTCGAATAATTCGGATCGCCATCGGAGTTTAAATATGGTGGCGCATCCGGCCAATTGAGAATCGATATTACTAATCTCAAGACGGATATTCAATAAACTTCTAATTACCAGAACGGGAATATAATTACGTATTCATTATTACTTAGAGCACTACAACAATATGTAAAATTTATTCAACTTCAAATTGTATAAAAAAATATAAAAGTGCTTTCCTTATTACAATTAATTTTCTATAGCATTGAACATTACATTCATTACATTGAAAAATGATAATCAATATTTAATTGTCCTTTTATAATGACTAATAGTACTCATTACACTACTATTTGACCCATATCTTAATCACACTAATAAAATGAACAAAATACACTTACACTTATTTGAATTAACAATTACTAAAAAGCTCCTGGTGACTAAGACTCTAATTTCCAAATTTATTAACATAAACCACGTTAGTAGTAGACATGCAACCAAAATGTGGGCTCGTCCGATGTAACGGCCGATAAGAAATTAACTGTATTAGAACTTCCGTGCCAGCACGCATTAATAAAGAAAGATTTCTCATAATGTTACTAAATGTCGAGTGCTAGAAACTTTCTTTAACAATCCAATTGAACCAAGTCATCATCTTTAAGCAAAATTTCTGATAACGCAACATTCGTAGATTGAGCACGTTAAAATAAACGGGAACACTTATTTCATACACAGATATGTCCCTTTAGAAATTTGTTGTTCATACGAGTAATGAGCATTCTAATTAGAAAAAAAAATCAAAGGATAAATTATCGAAACATCTTTCAATAATAGCCAATGAATAATAAAGGAAATAGTTTTAGAAACTAATTACATAAACCTGATATTTCTTTGTTGTCTTCATGTGAAACTAGCTTGTTATCATCTTCAAATAGTTTTTTTTTGTATTAGCTATTACGCAACCTTATAATCAGCCATTTGACTTATCAATCACAAAAAGGTCCTCAACAAAAGGTTTAGAGAAATTGATGATGCTACTCACGTCCAAAATAAAAATGTTCAATGATTGAACAATAATTAAATTAAATGCATCATTACTATCGATTAAGGAATATACGATCACTCGGATAGCAGAAACATAAAATGATACGTTGTCAAAAATGCCTTTTTGGGGTATAATTACAGATCTGAATGATGAACGCTTTTGATTGATCCCAACCCTTTTGGTATTATAATTTACATTGGGATGTAATAGTAGTGGTACAAAATCGTTTTCGAAATAAAAGGAAATATTCTTTATTAAGTTTTGAATCAATATGCTCAATTTGTAAGAGAACATCAATTTGTAGTAATTTTATGTTTCTTTAAATTTATAGCTTTTTAATCGTCCGCTTTTTTGTTAATTTTATAAAGAAAAGTATTCACAAACAAGGATATATTTTTAAAGCTAAATTAAGTTAGTATGTTTCAATAACATTATCAAAGGTTGGGGAACTAAAGTATGGGGCTACAAGAGCTCCCAACGGACACATACCAATAAACAGAGGCGATAGAAAACAGACGCTTCCCCAGCAAGGAAACACCCTTTGTTTAAACCCTCCGTAAACAATTTATAGTAAGTTCCTTTAAGATACTTAAAATATGAACAGCTCTTTAAAGAGTAATACGTAGTAGTAATAAAACATCAATAGAAACAGTGATACCTTTCATATGGAAACATATACAAATGAATTAAATTGTTAAATCAATGACGTTACGATTGCAATTCACATTGCATTCCTTCGACTTAGCAACAGAAAATTACATGTAGAACATATTTATTTCATTAATGGTATAACCGCAAAAATTGTAACACATGTCGCCATCAGCTGATTGACATTTAAAAAGGCCCTTTCATTTCTCCAGGTAGTTTTTTTTACGGTAATTCCTTCGATCTGTCAGCTGTTCTTTTGTAAGCGCGTGCGTTCCTGGATCTCCCAAATTTTATACATTTACATTAACACGATACGAGTTAACATCTGCTGTGGCAGGTGGTTTGAATTTTGAAAATATGTCCGCCTTTACTTTTCCATCTCGAGGTACAGAGTGCATAATAAATATTTTTGGGAGTGTGTTAGGGTACCAAACTTGGACCGCTTTTTTATTAGAGACTATATTATTAACGTCAACACAGTTCGAAGATTTCTTTTGTATTAAGTTTTTATACTCGAACTTTTCCTGATGACAAATATTTTTCTTTAGTTTTTTTGACAAATGTGCAGTACTTCATTTTAAGAACTTTGCTTATATTCATAATATTTGACTACGCAATCTGTTGTTTAAAAACATGATATTTATCGTATCTTTTTTGCGTATCCTTTCAAGGATACTCTGATATCTTCGATATCATGTTTCATATCCGCTCCGCTGCCACTTCATTCACGCTAAAAGACATCGATATGAATTGCTGCATTGAATGCTTTAAACGGATGCTTATTTTGTGAACGAGAGTATTTATCGTTGAAAGCAACTTTATATCCTAAATTATGGAACCGCA